CCTCCAGGGCCGGCTGGTGCAGACCAGGAAGTCGGGGTACTTCCCCAGCTCATCTGTGAAGCCCTGCCCTGTGGATGGACGGGTGAGTCCTCTCCCATGGAAGCTTCTGGAACGCTGCTGGCCCGGGCGATGAAGGTCCAGGAGCCGTCTCCTCGAGTGGACGGCCTGGCTCCTTCGGGACGTCCGTGCTGGGTTCAGGCTGCTGCGAGCTGCCCCCCGGAGCCGGAGCCCAGGGTGGGGCCGAGGGCCGGACGCCCCTGTTTAAGGGGCCCAGCCTCCCGGCTGTCCTGTTCCTTTTGGTGTAAATGCTAGGGTAGGCGTCTGCGCAGCTGCAGCGGCTGCCTGTCCCAAACTTCAGGGACCCTCGAAGCCCCCTGGAACTGTTGCACAGCCCTGGGGGAGGAAGGTCCCCCAGCATCCGGATTCACGGTGGGGCTTGTCGACGTCTAGGCGAAAGGCAGTGTGGCGTGTCCTTCATTGGCGGGGCGTGCGGAAGTCCCTGCTCCGTTGCAAGGCGGCCTTGAATACACTGCGTCACGCCCCTCCCACCACACCCCCAACAATGCGGCTTAAGAGAGGGGCAGGCGACAGTTTCCCAGCACCACCCTGAGCCCCAGCTCCCCGCGGGGCCTGCCCGGCTGGCCGTGCTCCCCACACTGCTCTGCGGGGACAGGGGTGTCACACACTCAGGCTCTTCAGACGACAGGCAGGGGGGACTAGTGCCACCAGCTCCCTGGGGCAAGTCTCTCAGTGTCCCCACCTGCACGTGGATGGGCTGGGAGGGGACAGGTGGTCTCGGAGGCCCCGCCCAGGCTGTGGCCGGGAGGCCAGGGTGGGGGCTCCGGCCAGGGTGGGGGCTCCGGCCAGGGTGGGGGCTCCGGCCATGGTGGGGGCTCCGGCCGGGGAAGCCCAGCTCACAGGAGCGGCGGCGCCTGCCCGGCTGCGTGCGCGCTCTCCCTGGGCCGCGGAAGTGGAGGGCGAGCCGTGTGTGTGCCCCTGTCCACTGCTGGGTGTTTCCGGCAGCCTCCGTCCTTCCTTCCCAGGGATTAGTGCATGGCGGGTGGTGGCCACTCCGGCGTGGCTCAGTCAGACCCCAGCGTGTCTCTCGGGTGAGGGAGGCCGGGCCGCTGCCCCTGGGGACCCCACGATCCCGGGCACTGGGGCTGAGGGCACAGAGGGTCCCCGCACAGTGCAGCCAGGGCCGGGCCTGGGGTTGGGGCCGGGAGACGCTGACACCGTGTGCTCTCCGCAGCCGCCCGTCAGCCGGCCGCCGTCGCGGGAGATGGACTACACCGTGTACCCCTGGTGAGTGCGCCGAGGGTCTCGGACGCGGGCGTCCCGTGGCCCCTTTGTTGTGGGCGTGTGGGCAGCCTCGTCCCCAGGTGCAGAGCCCGCGGCCTCCGAACCCCGTCTCCCTCCCAGGAGCCCTCCTGGGCAGCTGCTAACCCGTCTCTGAAACAGCTCAGCGCGTTTGAATATCTGGAGGATGGAACGCCGGTTCCGTGTGCTCTAACTGAGCTTCCTTATTTAAGAGACACAAAAGCAGCGTGCTTACGGGCAAAGTCGCAGCCACTTACTGGCTCAGTGCAGTTGCCGGGTGAGGACCGTGAGGCTCTGGGATCAGCCACAGGTGCACGGCGGCCGCCTGCATTTGCCCTGTCCCCGCTGTCTCGGGGCAACTGGAAGGAGGACTAGACCTGCGGACGCACGGCCCCCCCAGCCCCCCACGTGGCTCGGCACGTGGCAGCCACACGTGGCACAGTGTCTGGGTGTGGTAGCCTCTACCCCGAGAGTGCTGTCCTGGAGATGTGTGGTTTGGGGTTCATCCCTGAAGCCACCCAGGGTCCCCTATGCCCAGCGTGATGTCTGCACAGCCTGCAGGGGCTGCATGGGCCTCGCCCCGCCCGTCTGTCTTGGACGCCCACGGGTCTGGCTGGCACCGCTCCCACCTGCGTGGTCCTGTAGGGGGTGACCCCCAACCTGGGGCTTCGCTGGGAGGAGTAATAAACAACTTCGGCTTTTTTTTTTTTTTTTTGAGACAGAGTCTCGCTTTGTTGCCCAGGCTAGAGTGAGTGCCATGGCGTCAGCCTAGCTCACAGCAACCTCAAACTCCTGGGCTCAAGCGATCCTCCTGCCTCAGCCTCTCAAGTAGCTGGGACTACAGGCATGCGCCACCATGCCTAGCTAGTTTTTTCTATATATTTTTTAGTCGTCCGGCTAGTTTCTTTCCATTTTTAGGAGAGGCCAGGTCTTGCTCTTGCTCAGGCTGGTCTCGAACTCCTGACCTTGAGCGATCCTCCCGCCTCGGCCTCCCAGAGTGCTAGGATTACAGGCGTGGGCCACCGCGCCCGGCCACAACTTCAGCTTTTCAACGAGGACCCTGCCCTGGGGCTCGGTACTCCGGGAGTCCCGGTTCGCCCCAGCAATTAGGCGAGCGCAGCAGCAGGTGTGGGGCAGCCTGCGCCGTCTCAGGGCGGCTTCGCTGCGGTGGAGCCGGCGGCAGAGCTTGGCTTCAGGCCTGCTGGTGTAGGTGTCGATGGCCTCCAGCATGCCACCCAAAACACCCACGCCAGCGCTCACATCCATTGCTGCTTTTTAAATAGTGGAAAACACATGTTTTAGAACAGAAACGTGATCCCCTGGACGTATGTTTCGCTGAGCTCCTCTCGCAGGCCTGGGTCTGCAGAGCAGGAAGCAGCTCCGTCTCCCATCCTGACCCCAGAGACCTCCGTGAGCCCCGGGTGCCGTGCTCGGGTGCCAGACCCCCGCCCCCGCCCTGCGCCCCTCACGCTGTGAAGATGAGCGCGGAGAGGAAGGCAGGGCCCCGGGGGGTGCCCGGCGGCCTCACGGCTGCTCCTCCCGCTGCAGGTTCGCGGGCAGCATGGAGCGGCAGCAGACGGACAACCTGCTCAAGGCCCACGCCAGCGGCACCTACCTGATCCGGGAGCGCCCCGCCGAGGCCGAGCGCTTCGCCATCAGCATCAAGTAGGCGGTGGGCCTGGGCTCGGGGGACCCTCGCCTGGCGCGGCTCTGGACCGTGGAGCCCCCTGTCCCCTCCGTGTCCTGAGCTTGTTGGGTTGGCTGACCCCGTCATCTGCGGCCCAAGCCAGGACGCTTGTGAGACAGAGGCGGCGCTGAGAGCCGGTGCCGGGCGCCAGGGTGGGAGTCTCCACTCCGCTGCACGGTGCCCGCGGGCGACTGGCACCAGCCATCCACGTCCGCCGCACCCAGCCAAAGCCGCCCTTTGGCTCGCAGGCCCCAGGCGTGCCCGGGTGCAGGTGCGGGTGGGCACCTGTGCGAGGTGGGCCTTGGGGAGTCCTGTCCCGCTGCTTCCGTGGCACCGGGACCTGGGCAGACCCTCTGCTGCGGTGGCTGCTGGGCGCCCTCCGGTTTGGACACGCCCCTGCGCCGTGCCCTCCTGGGAGCTGTCTGCTGCGGGCTCAAGGACAGACCTGGACCGGTCGTTTGTCACCCTCAGCAAAGGCGCCAGCTGTAGGCGGCACGTAGTGGGGTCTGGTGTGTCAGGCCCTCGGCGGGTCAAGAGCCCCGAGCAGGGTGGTCTGTGTCCGGGGAGGGGCTTGTCAGGCTGCCGGGCTGGGCTGGGCACACTGTGCGTCTGGGCAGAGAGAGGGGACAGTGACGCGTGTGACTGTGCTGGCCTCACAGGACAGAGAGTGGAGGCGGTGGTGATGGTGACAAGTGCGACTGTGCCGGCCGCACAGGACAGAGCGGAGGCGGTGGTGACGGTGACACGTGTGACTGTACCGGCTGCACAGGACAGAGAGCGGAGGCGGTGGTGACGGTGACGCGTGTGACTGTGCCGGCCGCACCGGACAGAGAGTGGAGGCGGTGGTGACGGTGATGCGTGTGACTGTGCCGGCCGCACAGGACAGAGAGCGGAGGCGGTGGTGACGGTGAACACATAGCGACCTGTCCGCCCAACAGAGAGCAGAGGTGGTTGGTGACAGTGACGCGCGTGCGACAGTGCCAGCCGCACAGGACAGACGGAGGCAGTGTGACGGTGACGCGTGCGACTGTGCCGGCCGCACAGACAGTCACGGAGCGGTGTGACGTGACAGCGTGCGACTGTGCGGCACGACAGGACAAGAGCGGAGCGGGGGACCGGTCGAACAACGTGTGACTGTGCCAGCCCCAGACAGAGAGCAGAGCGGTGGTGACAGTGACACGTGGCGACTGTGCTCGGCCGCCAGGACAGAGCGGAGGCGGTGGTGACGGTGACGCGTGCGACTGTGCCGGCCGCACAGAGAGCAGAGGTGGTGGTGACAGTGACACGTGCGACTGTGCCGGCCGCACAGGACAGAGCGGAGGCGGTGGTGACGGTGACGCGTGCGACTGTGCAGGCCGCACAGGACAGAGCGGAGGCGGTGGGGACGTGACACGTGCGACTGTGCCGGCCGCACAGGACAGAGAGCGGAGGCGGTGGTGACAGTGACGCGTGCGACTGTGCCGGCCACACAGGACAGAGAGCGGAGGCGGTGATGACGGTGACACGCGTGTCACTGTGTTGGCCGCACAGGACAGAGAGCGGAGGCGGTGGTGACAGTGACACACGTGACTGTGCCGGCCGCACAGGACAGAGAGCGGAGGCGGTGGTGACAGTGACACACGTGACTGTGCCGGCCGCACAGGACAGAGCGTCAGGCTGCACGGCTGGCCGCGGGACAGAACGAAGGGCGCAGTGAGGACAACAGGACTCAGGCAGGGCATTCCCTCCTGCGAAGGCGCCACTGGTCCCTAAGCAGGGCGGGGTCGGGTCACTGTCGTGGGAAGTCACTGGCGTGGTGAGAAGCCCAAGTAAACGTGACGTCCCTCAACGGGGACGTTGCTTGGCCCTTCCGTGGTGGCCTAGGAGTTAGCAGGGCAGGACAGTGTCCATGACTGTCTCGAAGTGGAGTTGTTGTTGTGACTGTGGCTTCACACTGTGTCACCGTCACACACAGGAGCCATTGTCGTGTGGCTGTTGTCGTTATTATTACTGCTACCACCTGTGCACACAGTTTATCAGGGCCCAGGTGACATGCAAGTCTGACTTAGAATACTCCTTCCACTTACTGTAAACGGGGGCTAACAGCGACAGCCTCAGGCAGGCCCTCCAGGGGGCCGTGTTGTCACAGGAGAAGCCTGCTCACGCATGTCACGTCCCTTACTCCTTCCAGTGGGACAGATGTGGAGGCACAACAGTGACACCTATGACCCTGACCCTGTAGGTCTGGGCTAGTGTGTGTCTGTGACTTAGTTTACAACCAAAAAAATTTAAAGGGGTAAAAAAAAAAAAAGAAGAGCGTAGAGAATAAGGATATGAAGGTAACGCTCTGTGCGCAGTGGTACAAGGTGTCTGTTGTGAGCTAAGTTACTGCAAAGAGTCACACAGTTAAAACAAAGAGGTCACAAAATCACATGGCTATAGTGAGCTAACGTCATGTGGAAGAAATATGTTTTTTTGTAAATGGAGCGTAGTCCGGGCGTGCTGCGTGTGCCAAGTCCGCCGTGGCCCCCACCCCCTCGCCACCACTCCCTGACCCAGCCACCCAGCCACCCACGCCTGGTGCGTGTCTACACAGGTGCACCACTGTTCATACCATGTTCATACCATGTTCCCTGTGTGTTTATTTTATCTATTTATTTTTTTGAGACAGAGTCTCACTCTGTTGCCCAGGCTAGAGTGAGTGCCGTGGCGTCAGCCTGGCTCACAGCAACCTCAAACTCCTGGACTCGAGCGATCCTCCTGCCTCAGCCTCCCGAGTAGCTGGGACTACAGGCAGGCGCCACCATGCCCGGCTAATTTTTTCTATATATATATATATATATATAATAGTTGGTCAATTAATTTCTTTCTATTTTTAGTAGAGACAAGGTCTCGCTCTTGCTCAGGCTGGTTTCGAGCTCCTGACCTCGAGCGATCCACACGCACCCGGCCTTCCCTGTGTGTTTAAATGTGTCTAGATGCACAGGTACCGCCGTGTGACAGTCACCTGCAGCATTCAGTGCAGTGACAGCCACGCAGTCTGTAGCCGGGGAGCAGCAGGCTAGACCGCATGGTGAAGGTGTGGAGCAGGCTGGGCTGTACCATCTAGGTTTGTCTAAGTACACTGGGTACTTACTGCTCAGTACTGTGCAGTGATGAAATGGCCTATGGGTGCATTTCCCAGGCCGTGTCCCCGTTAAGCAATGCGGGCTGTGTGTACATATAGAGGAGATTCGGTTGCCAGTGGCTGGTTAAGGATTTCTGCGTCTGTAGTCCTAGGGATATTGGCCTATAGTTTCCTTTTCCTGTGATGTCTTTGCCTGGCTTTGGTGTCAGCTGGCGGGGGGAGGTGGAGGTGTTTGAGAAGGGGGTGCTGTGACTCTCCGTAATGTCACGTTCGAATTGAGGCCAGAGGCCGTGGGCCCGTGAGGAGGCAGGAGGCGAGTGTCCGGGCGGAGCAGGTGGCTGGTGCCAGGATTCAGGCAGGCTCTGCTTGGCCTGTGTGAGGGGCAGCCCGGAGGCCACCGGCTGGAGTGGCGTGCCGGGGGCATACCGGGGGTGATGTGGGGGCAGGGCCCATGGCCCCCCGGGGAGGAGGGGGCGGCTCCCGGTGCCGAGACGCAGTGAGCAGAAGTCTCGGCATGGAGGGTGGGCGGCTGAGCCTTGGTCGTGGGGCGTGCAGCCCACGCAGGAGTTTGTCTCCAGTGGGCAAAGGGGGCAGGCCGCGGCCCCGAGGCCTGGGGCAGGAGAGGAGCCACAGGGAGTGGCCGTGGGTGGGGCAGGAGCGAGGGCAGACACAGGCCACGCCTGGACCCGAGGGGGCCGGGGCCGGGCCACGTGGCCCTCTCGCGGTGACCGCTGAGCCGTGCCTCTGCGCAGGTTCAACGACGAGGTGAAGCACATCAAGGTCGTGGAGAAGGACAACTGGATCCACATCACAGAAGCCAAGAAATTCGACAGCCTCCTGGTGCGTGACCTCGGCCACCGGCTCTCCCGGCGGCTTTTCCTGGGGAGAGGTGGTCTTCCCGGGGGGGGCAGGCGGTGTGTCAGGCTCCCGGGACAGGGAGGGCCCGGCCAGGGCCTGGCGTGTCACTAAGGTCACACCCTCGTGGCTTCAGACACCCCCTTCCCAGACCCACCCCGCCCTCCGCACTGCCCCGCCCAGCCAGTGCAGCTGGAGGGGGGCCCTGCTTATAGTGACTAAATCATACCTGCCGTTAACTCGCGAGTTGGACTGAGGGCACTGATGAGAGAGTCAGGAGCTCAGGGTCCCACTCTGGCCACCGACAAGCACCAGGTCACACGGACAGTGTCTGTGGTCCAACGCCCATATTGCCGCCCTCACAGCAGACACCAGTGTTCACACTTCAGGTGAGCGTGCGTGGGACCACTCAACGCATACCTGAGGAGCAACCTACAGGCACCTCAGGGGCAGCCTGTGTACACCTCCTCAGGTGTAGCCTATAGACACCTCCTCAGGGGCAGCCTGTATACACCTCCTCAGGTGTAGCCTGTGTACACCTCCTCAGGGGCAGCCTGTGTACACCTCCTCAGGGGCAGCCTGTGTACACCTCCTCAGGGGCAGCCTGTGTACACCTCCTCAACCTCCCTAGGGGCAGCCTGTGTAGCACCTCCCTCAGCAGGCAGCCTGTATACACCGTCCTCACAGGCAGCCTGTGTACAGCCTCCTCAAGGTTAGCTTCGTGTAGCGCCTCATCCAGGTGTATGCCCTGTGTACAACCTCCTCTAGGGGGGCAGGCCGTGTGTACACTCCTTCAGGGGCAGGCCCTGTGTACACCTCCTCAGGGGCAGGCCTGTGTACACGCTCCTCAGGGGCAGCCTGTGTACACCTCTCTCAGGGGCAGCCTGGTGTACACCTCCTCACGGCAGCCTGTATGACACGCTCGCTTAGGGCAAGCCTGTGTATACCTTCTAGGGGGCAGCCTGTATGCACCTCCTCAGGTGTAAGCCTGTGTAGCACCTCTCCAGGTGTTAGCTGTGTAGCACCTCCTCAGGGGCAGCTGTGTCACTCCTCGGGGGCAATGCCCTGTGTACACCTCCGTCGAGGGGCCAGCCTGTGTTACACCTCCCTCAGGGGCAGGCCTGTGTACACCTCCTCAGGGGCAGCTGTGTACACCGTCCTCGAGGGGCAGCCTGTGTACAACCTCCCTCAGGGGCCAGCCCTGTGTATCAGCCGTCCTGCAGGGGCAGCCCTGTGTACACTCCCTCCAGGGGGCAGCCTGGTTACACCTCCTCAGGCGGCTAGCCCTGTGTACACCTCCTGCAGGGGGGCAGCCTGTGTACACCTCGCTCAGGGGCAGCCCTGTGTACAGCCTCCTCCAGCAGGCAGCCCTGTATACACCCTCACGGCCCCAGCCTGTGTACACGCTGCCTAGGGGCAGGCCCTGTGTACACCTCCTAGGGGCCAGCCCCTGTGTAGGGCACTCCTAGGGGCCAGCCTGTGTCATCTTCCTAGTGGGCCAGCCTGTGTACACGCCTCCCTCACAGGCAGCCTGTATAGCACCTCCTCACAGGGCAGCCTGTGTACCCTCCTCCAGGTGTTACTTGTGTACACCATCCCTCAGGTGTAGCCTGTGTACACTCCTCAGGGGCAGCCTGTGCTACAGCCCTCCTCAGGGGCATGGCCTGTGTACACCATCCCCAGCGGGGCCGCCTGTGTAACCTCCTCAGGAGGCAGCCTGTGTACACCTCCTCAGGGGGCAGCCCTGTGTACTACCGTTCCTCACAGGCAAGCCCTGTGTAAACCCTCCTCCAGGGGGCAGCCTGGTGTACACCCTCCTCAGGGGCCGCCTGTGACACGCTTTCCCTCCAGGGGGCAGGGCCTGTGTAGCCCTCCTCCAGGGGGGCAAGCCTGTGTACCAACCTCTCCAGGGCAGTCGTGTGTACCACCTCCTCCACGGCACCGCTGTATAACACTCCTCACCAGGCACCTGTGTAGACCTCCCCCTCAGGTGTAGCACTTTGTGTACACCAGCTCCCTGCAGGTGTAGCCTGTGTACCTCCTCAGGGTGCACCCTGTGTAACACCCTCCTCAGGGGCAGCCCTGTGTACAGCTCCTCAGGGGCAGCCTGTGTAGGCACCTCCTCAGGGGCCAGCCTGTGTACACCTCCTTCAGGGGGCGCCCTGTGTAGCACCTTCCGCTCACAGGCAGCCTGTATAGCACCTCCTTAGGGGCCCAGCCTGTTGTATACCTTCTAGGGGCAGCCTTGTAGCACTCCTCAGGTGTTAGCCTGTGTAACACCTCTCCTCAGGTGTAGCCCATGCTGTCACCTCCTCGGGGCAGGGCCTGTGTACACCTCCTCCAGGGGCCGCCTGTGTACTACCTCCCTCAGGGCAGCCTGTGTACACAATCCTCAGGGGAGGCCTGCTGTACACCCCCTCAGGGGCAGCCTGTGTACACCTCCTGCACAGCCAGGCCCCTGTATAACACCTCCTTAGGGGCAGCCTGTGTATACCTTCTATGGGCAGGGCCTGTATCCCTCTCAAGGTGTGAGCCTGTGTAACACCTCCTAGGTGTCCTGTGTACACCTCTCAGGGGGCAGGCGCTGTGTAGCACCTCCTGCAGGGGGCAGCCTGTGTACGACACTCCTCAGGGGCAGTCGTGGGGCTACCTTGCTAGGGGGCAAGCCGTGTACACCCATTCTAGGGGCAGCTTGTGTAGCACGCTCCGGGCAGCTTGTGCTACACTAGGGGCCCAGCTTGATACACATTTCACTAGCGAGGCAGTCCTGTGTTACCTCCTCG